AGACCTAACAGAAACTATAGGAGCTTATGAGAGGTTGCTGGCCTTCTCGTAATACGGGCTAGAGCTGTTTACATCAATTGAAGAAAAGATGGCAAGAAGTCGAAGATAGAAAGATTTATGATCAGTTTTTATATTTACTTAATAATTTAATCTTCAGTATTTTCTTAAAAGAGGAAAGTGATTGAGAGTTGATGACCTCGTAGTCAAGTGAATTAAAAAACTTAAAGGTACTTGAAAAATGGGTGAGAACTTCCTGGTGTTTGTTCGACAATATGGTAGACGGTAGGCCTGGGAATTTCTTGTATTGTAAGAGTGGAATTGATTGCTTTGGAAGAAATTGTTATTAAACCTTGGAGGTAAGAATAAATTTTTGCAAGAAAACATAAATCGGCCCAGTTGAAGCAAATGGATATCATTAAATTTTATTATTATTCATTCAAAATATTTTCCCAGTTCTGATTGGCTAAAAGCACACGTTTAATTCACCATAACCAGTTACTGATTACCAAATTTGGAAGAATTTTGTGTTTAACGAGGAAATGACGTCAAAAATGCAGCGTTTTCACAGGTTAAGGCACCGTTAACCGAGAAGACCAGGGGACGAGGTTGAGTTGTTTTAGTTGTGAACTTGAAAAATGGCGGACATTTCACTCGTTTCAAGAGTAAGAGCTAGGCGAAAAAAATAGCTAAAAACATGGCAAGAACAGCAAGAAGACAACTCGAAGGGCGGCATCTGCCATTTGGAGAATATTTATTTGCGGAGCTGGACAAACCTAAACGTGCACTATCGAAGGTAAGGTAAGAGGTAAGCATGTTTTAGCCATGTTGTTAAACTAGGAATTATTTTGAATGAATAACAATTATTGAATTCGGCTTTCGTATCATATGAAGAATTATGAAGATCTCGGAGGGTGTTATCCGCCTCGGCCTACACCCTCCTCGATCTCCATAATTCTTCATAAGATACTCAGCCTCATTCATTAATTGTTAAGTATACCGAGGTCCTTGAAGATGGGGTCTGTATGAGCATGTGATTTATTAATACTGGAATTCTAATAATGTGCTTTTGCAGGATAACAAGGCGGCGGAGATTGCTTTTATAGGCCGAAGCCCAAACTACATTTCAGTGGTAAAAATAAGGATAAATTAAGGAATAGTAGAACATAAGTAGAGACGTTTTACGAAGAAAGATACTAGTCACGTGACGAAGCTAGCATGAAAACAAGGCTGAGAATTATAACCTCGATACCGTTATTAACTGTGGATAAAACGAAACCTAAATAACAGGAGACATGCAACGCAATGTTTCCAGTTTTAGCCTAAGCCAGTGGGATACGACACGAGTCACGTGACGAACCTAGCATGAAAACGAGACTGCGAAATAAAGCTTCTTATAACTCTTTTAACTGTGAATAAACAAAAACCAAAATAACGGAGGATATACAACTCAATGTTGTGAGTGTTTGTTTAAGGCAGTGGGACGCGTCACTAGCCACGTCAAGAAGTTAGCATGAAAGCGAGGCTGAAAAATAAACGTATTTTAAAGCTGTCAACTGTGGATAAAACGAATCCAAAATGACAGGAAATATGAACCTCAATGACGACAGTTTTGACCTTAGGCAAACACTCACCCACTAGAGGCTGAATTAGGTATTCTATGGGATATTTCGTGTCTAATCACTTGGCCAGATTAATGTAACACAGAGATGTGCTGGTTTTTAAAATTTTTGACTAGTCCTTTAATTTGGATTAAGATACTGTGTTTCATCCAGCATCCAGTGTTTTACAGATACGAGATCAATGTTTCGAGCTCTGGTGAACAAGACATTTTGTGACCAGACCAGGATATGTGATGCTCTCGTTTTCCTGCTGACGAAGAAGTCATCGGTTGTTTTTCAACTCTTGGAGTAAGCGCGATTCCTAGCAGAAAGACGGACGACTGTGTGCCAGCTGTATGTACCAAGGACAGATACTTGTGCGGTGAAAATGCTGAGGTGGTGGTTGTTTCGAATGGAGCAAGCGCACTCTGAAAGGCTACATCCGACCCAAGCTAACCTAAGTCAAGCAATCTTAAGAGATCACTATCAACTTCAGGTGTGGAATAATGACGAAGTCACAAATCCCACCCTTCCATCCCCAGACATTTTGGCTGGACGGCGGATGAAAATGGATAGGTGCCTGTCATGATGCTCCAGACGGAAATATCTACCTTGTAAAGTGCAAATGCGCCAAGGAGAGATGCTCAACAAACCGCTGCAATGTAGAAAAAATGGGATAAACTGTACCGATTTCTGAAGTTGTTCAGACAGTGTGGAACTTTGTGAAGATTTAGATGGTGATGATGACGATGAATATGATGATGGTGATTGTAATGGTGACGACGATAAAGATGAAGAGGAAGATTTTACTGACTAGGTTGCATGGGAAGACAGTGAAAGTAATACAAAATTCGTGTTGGACACAGTGAAACATTTCTGTATGAGCATTTTACTTCGCTGGCCATTTCACAGTAATAGGAGTTAAGCTATTAACTTTTCGTCACTCTCAAAGATAGGTTAAAACAAGAGCATCACATATCCATGTCTGGTCACAAGATTTCTTGTACACCACAGCTGAAACATCAATCTCTCATCTGTAAAACATTGGACGCTGGAGTGTAAACACAGTACGTATCTCAATCCACATTAAAGCGTCAGTCTAAAATTTTACAAACCAGCACATTTCTGTGTTACTATACTTTGGCCGCGTGAGTAATAATGGTAATTAATAGGACGGAGGGGAGTTCAATTCGGTCTATATTCATACGAGTGATTAACAATATCGGACGACCTCGTAGCGGGAGTCCGATTTGTGTAATCACGAGTATGATTACAGACCGAAATGGACGACACGAAGTCCTGTTACCAATTAATAAATACCGTTACAATTTCCGAGGAAACAAATGCATTCTTTTTGGTGAAAGAACATTTGAATACCGAATGTCCAAAATTAGGGGAAAAATCACTGGCGGAGACACTGTCTAAATGTTACAAATTCGTCCATTTGGCAAAATCCCCAGTTTGATAACTTCTGTGATTGGTGGATTTAGCTGAGTAGCACTTAATATGATTGGCTAATGAAACTGTCCGATTACAACCCTACACAATGATTAGTAAAAAATAAAAGAGTTAATGCACTTTTTGATGAAATTGTAATGGTTATGATTAGACACGAAATATCCAAGAGCATATTAGTGAATGTTTGCCTAAGGCCAAAACTGAGGTCATTGAGGTTTACATTTCCTGTCATTTTGGTTTCGTTTTATCCACAGTTGAAAGCGTTGAAAAACGTTTATTGCTCAGCGTCGCTTTCATGCTAACCTCGTGACGTGACCAGTGACGCGCCCCACTGCCTTAAACAAACACTCACAACATTGAGTTGTATATCTCCCGTTATTTTGGTTTTTGTTTATTCACAGTTAAAAGAGCTATAAGAAGCTTTACTTCGCAGTCTCGTTTTCAAGTTTGATTCGTCTGGTGACTAGTAAAGTGTCCCACTGGCTATGGAAAAAATTGACAACATCGAGTTTTATATCTCCTGTTATTTTGGTGTCATTTCATCCACAATTTGTCAAGTTTTAACCCTTTAAGTCCCGATAGTGACCAAGGTCAATTTTCTCCTAACAATATCCATATGTTACCAAGAGAAATGGTTATGAGAGCTAATAAAATGATCACCTAAGAGAAAATGCTTTGATCTTCTACCAACTTCTCTCAACTTATTCCTTAAGGAAATGTATAAAGACCAGTTTGGAGAATTTGTATGTGGATATTGGGGCTTAAAGGGATAAGACATTTCATCTGGATGAGCCCCAACATGGCGGACGGAAACCAACAGAAACATCTGTTACCGAGTTTTGCTACAAAAGCGTGAATTTATTCTTCGAGAAACTCATAAACATTAAAGTAATACTCTTTCTAATACATGAACTGTTTAGATAGCAAAATTTCCTGAAATAAGTCATTTTTGTAACCTAAATGACAGCTCTCTTGGCCGTCATGTAAATGACGCGTCACGCAAAAGCTTAGAAATTCAAGCGTACTCTATCACAAAACCAAGAACCCTTTTGAAGCGAAAATTTGTATGAAAATTAGTTTTCAGGTGCTTTAATGCATCGCGAAAGTAAAATCTCGGTAGGATCGATAGTTTTTTAGTTTGAATTTTAGTGACGTCATGTGAAAACCAACAATAAAAATCACCTGGGGCGAAGTTTTCTCTCCGCCGTTCCGTTCTAAATGCGTTCCTTAAGGTGATGTTACACAGGACGATTCGCAACGACGATTTTTAGCGCAACGCAGCGTTACAGTATGTTGGAACAATATTGTAACTATTTGAAACAATTTCGCAACAATGTTGCAACGCTGTGTTGCGCCAAAAATGGTAATTGCGAATCATCTCGTGTAATATCACCTTTAACCCATATGCAAATATAGCGGCAATGTTTACTGTGATACTCTGGACATTCTTAATTCGGGAGCTCTTTATCTCTCTTTGGATGATGATAAATGCCAGTTTATGCCAGTGTCTGTAAATTTATATTAATGGCGACAATGCATGAATGGAAATTGTGGGGAGTATGTGAGAACAAAAGATTTCCTAGGATATTCCTTAGAATTCCTAAATCTATTTTACCACAATTCGTTTCAGATTGCTTTGGAATTTGCGAGTAGAGGTTGTTGACAAGACCGAAAGGTCCAAAGCTAACCCTGAGAAAACCTCTTGTAGCAACAGAAAGCCTGAACCAGCATCAACCTGAACGTTTGGCGTTGTCGACGCCGGGAATTGAACCCAGGCTGGCACATTTATGAAGGGCGAGCGCTGCTACACCACCACTCCTGACCCTTGCTTTGAGTTGGTGATATTATTCCTTGTGGTGTCAAGAGACACTTTCCTGACTGTTTATTTGTGTCCATTCATATCTTTTAGATAAAAGTCTTCCTTAAAGCCTTACTCAAGCTAGAATGGACTTTATCCAGAGGTGCGTTTGGCTTCTTGCGATCATGATTCTGATGATTGGTTACTTGGTATTCAAGTCACGATACACACTAGTCAGTTATTTATCCAAACGTCAGGCTGGTCAAAATCATGGTGGAAAGAAGACTGTGGACGCCACGGAAAGTCTTTCCACCAAAACTACAGACATTGTAACCACAGAGATTGCTGGTGATGAACGTCTCCAAATCGGCCATTATGTTTCTAGACTTAACCCTTACATAATTGGAAAAGAGTTCAACTTTGATAAATCAACTCTAGATGTGGTAAGAAGAGTTCTTCGGTATCAAACATTCAAGCGAAAGCCAGTCGAGTCCGTTGATGCCAAGACGCCATTTTTTGATCTTGTGGCTCCTGTAACCGCTTGTTCGAGTAATCACTACGAAGAATTCAAACCTCACATAGAAGATTTTAGAAAGAGTTTTCCGGGAAAGAAATGTTTTTTTTACGATCTTGGACTACGCGATAAGCAGATCAAAGAAGTTAAAAACATGCCTAATCTAGAGTACAGAAAATTCGACTTTAATGCGTATCCTCGACACGTTCGTAACCTGCGAAATTATGCTTGGAAAACGCTGATAATTCAAGAAATGCTTTCTGAATTTGACGGAACAATGTGGTTTGATTCATCTGTCAAATTCTTAGGAAACCTAACCAATAATATAATAGGACTTATGTCCCGCCACAATACAGGTGCAGTGTTTTATCTCCCCCCAACCTCTCACTCCATAATAGCCGGAACACATCCGGGCATGCTTGAATACTTTCCGATGATGAAAGAAGGCGGAGTTAAGAAAATGCTACAGGCCAGTGCAGTGATTTACATAAACAAGGATGAAGTACAAAGGCATATAATGAAATGGGTTGTGATTTGCGCCCTCAAAAAGGACTGTATCGCACCACCCGGTTCAAAATCATCTAAGCCGTCTCATTTTCTTCTTCCAGACAGTTATGGGGACTTCCACAGATATGACCAGTCTCTGCAAAATATCCTTGTTTCGAACGCTTATAACCATAAACACGAGAAATATCACTACTGGAGTAAAGATTTTGCCATTATGGCCCGGAGGAAAGTTCCTCGAGAAAACTAGCAAAGGAAAGAGTTTCTTGATCAATTTAGGTCACAAATCTATACAATTCATGGTTGTACTTGAAAACATTGTACCCAACAAACAAGTTTTAAATTAGAAACCAGCAATGTTGTGTTTCCTTACCACGCTAATTTGGTTAAAGTGTCTTAAATGTGAGTATCAATAGAAAAACTACAATCGTGGAGTCGACAAATGTCTCCGGATAAATCTGCATTTGTGGCGCTAAGCTAAACATATACCCATCCCCAACCGACAAAACGTTGAAACTGTGCATTAAAAGTCTGCATTCTTTAGGGTAACTGAGAAGGGGGTACTGAAAGACATTTCTAAAACTTTAAGACTACTCCAAGACGAAGTCTAGGAGTTATATGTAATTACGAATATTTTGTGACCGTCAAAAGGACTTAAGGTTGGTCCACCATTGTAGTTAGTACATATCGATACACCCGCTCAATTTGCGCACACAAATGATCTGAACACACAGAAATTTTAAAGCCTTGTCGCCGAAATGCCTGTGGAGGGTCACTAGGCAAAGAAGTTATCGGAAGTACCTAATAGCGGGGTCGAGTGCGTCGTTGTCACAGTTACTAAAGCTACTAAGTCAATGGTTTACTGTTTCCCATAATTTTTTACTGGTTTCTTTTCTAGATGTTTTTTTGTTCACATCTGAACTTAATTAGTATGCAGTTAGCTTTGGACGCGTCACTCAGATCAACGAATTAACTAAAGTCAGTCTGTAAAGGGCCTAGTTGAAGTAAGGAAAAGAAATTGTGATATACCTTAACAACAAAAAACGGTTAAGCAACTCAGTATCAAGAAATTGTCTGTTGTACCTACCTGAATTTGCTCATTAAACTTACTAGAAAAAATTTTCACAACAGTAGTCCCCCGCTTTGATATACTGAATCGGTATGTTGAATGTTTTAAATTTGACTGGTTATTTATTTCGATGAATGATACAATATAATGATCCATAAATCGGACAATGTAAATTTATCATGACAACCATCCAGTGTTCTATTTCAGCTTTTGGTATAACAACAACGTATTTTTCTTAATAACATTAGTAGTTTTGGTAGTTTGTTTTATGGAACAATCCATATTTTCTATTCAGTTAAGTAATTTTCAAAAACATCAGCAGTGACCAGAACAACAATATAATCAAGCTTGCATATAAAATTTCGGACAAAACTGACTCACCAAGCACTCCGTCATTAATACTGGAGCATTTAGCTGTGACAAATTTTCCGTCATAACTTTTTCATTTTTAACACGATGGCTGGCAAACCGTTGCAAAGAACAACCGAAGTCATTCAGTAATAATATGAAATATTCCGATTTCATTGATGGTAAATATTTCTTGAGAAATTAGCCCTTAAAAGGACCACACTGTTCAAAGAAAATCGCGTCTAGTAAAAAAATTTGCTGATATTTTTTAACTGAAATTTGTGGTATCGGCTTTTATTGATATAATAAATATGCCAGTCAAAGAGAGAAATTTCAGAAAAATAGTTCGAGCAGAAGTTTATGGTGGCCGAGAACTGCCAATCGAAAAATCCGCATTATTATTATTTTTTTATTATTATTATTTTAATCTATGATTATTTTCCACTTTTTTTGAATTTTTATTTTCATTCAAAACAAAAGTGAAAGCAAAATCAAGTGAAATCAAAATAAAACGAAATGAAACCAAAGTAAAATCAAATCAAATCAAAATTAAAATCAAATAAAATTGTCGACCCAGCCGAGCGCTGCCACTACCAGCATGCATTGCGTACATCACATAGATACGACCCAGCTCGAAGATAGTGGATAACAGGTTTTCATCGTGGAATTAAAATCACCTTCTTCAAGGAGCGATGCCGGTACGTTAAACAAAGTCTTAAACGCGTAGAAGTGATCGATTTTTTGCGAGAACGGCTTTCCTCAACAAGACGCTGGATTATCCAACTCTCAACAGACGTTTGCGACATTTCGGGGTTTGTAACAAAACTATGGGGGTTATCAGGGTCAAAATTCAGTTTTCCTGGTCGGTTGTTCTATTTTCTTGTTTTGTTATGATGTTTTGTCATTCTGTTTTAACATGATTTTATCGCTCTGTTATTCGGGCCTAATGTAGCCTCCCACGCAGACGTTCTCACGCGTTCGTCACGCAATCATTCCTCTTCCACGTGGGGTAGGAACGCGTGACGAACCCCTAAGAACGTTTGCGTGGGAGGCTAGGCCTAGTATGCAGTTATTCAGTTCTGTTGTTCTATTTTATTGTTTTGTTATGATGTTTTGTCATTCTGTTTTAACATTTTATCGTTCTGTTATTCAGGCCTAATGTGCAGTTATTCAGTTCTGTTGTGCTATTTTGTTGTTTTGTTATAGTGTTTTGTCATTCTTAACATTTTATTGTTCTGTTCAGATTCGGAGCTAATGCATGTGCAGTTATAAATGAAATTCTGTTGTGCTCTTCAGTTGTTGTTTTGTTACGTGGTTCTGTTATGCTATTCCGTCCTGTTATTTCGGCCTTCTTTCTCTTTGGGGCGTCTGGAAAAGTAAGGAAACCAGAATCGGGAATAGGAACCGGGGAAGAGGAACCGGAACCGAAACCTAAATGGAAACAGGAAAGGAAAAGAGTAAAGTGACAGGAAAAGAATAAATAAAAATGAGCTCGTGCCAGTTGTTCAAAAGGTGGATAGCGGTATCAACTGGACAAATCTCTATCCAGTGGATAATGCAATTGGTTTCTCAAAAATTTATAGGCTGCATAGTGCTATCCAACGTTTGGAGAACCAGGGCCTGGACTCCAGGCCAAGACTTGGGATTAGAACCAACAGTATCGAGACAACTTCATTTCAGGTCAGATGGGAGTTTCGAGCTATTTTCAAGTGATTTTGAGCGGGTCTTTGGTTGGGTCGTTTTCTACCCAAACAAACTTTTTAACGACGCCAAAGGTTAAGCAGTAGAGCTACCTGTCATCTATCATGTCATATTAAAAAACTTCGACACTTGATTTTTTGATCATCATCTCTGCTTTATACGAGTATATAGAGCCACCTCGTGTATAATATATCTCAGCGTAAGTATGTAGTACTACTTTCGATTACTTTGAATAGATACTCGATTACTTCAATTCTCGACGTGACTTAAGATATACTGTAAGTTTTAAATAATAAACCGGGTGGGAACAGGTACTGATGAGACAAACGGGGAACTTGAAGAAGGAAGGAAAGAGACATGGATGAGAGGACAACAGACGCGCCTTCTTACAATATATAATAGGGTGATTTAGCAACAGGACGGGAACGTCAGTTGACGACGGCGCGCGCAAATCAAACAACTGGCTTGACCAATAGCAGAGCGGCAAATTGTGCACCGGAAGTAGCGTTTAGTCCTTTTCGCGCGCTTTCCCGTCGTCAACTGACGTTCCCGTTCTGTTGCTAAATCAGGCTGATTTAGCAACAGGACGGGAACGACAGTTGGCGACGGGCAAGCGCGCGGAAAGAACGAAACACGACTTCTGGTGCCCAATTTGCCGCTCTGCCATTGGTCAAGCCAGTTGTTTGATTTGCGCGCGCCGTTGTCAACTGACGTTCCCGTTCTGTTGTTAAATCTGCCTATTAACGTGTGAACAGCAGTAAGCTCGGACGTCATACAAAGGCGTCACAAGTTATGAGCTTACTGTACTCACCCAGCCCATGACGTGATTAATGTGTGAAAGTTGGCCACACCACCGGGGTCTACGTCCCCTACTTTTCTTGAACGGTGTGGGTTCTTTTACGTCCTAAGAGCCAGATAAGTGAAAGTGCTGTGCGATGAGATCTACGGTTTTCTGTCCTTATCCGAGAAGACTAGAAAGTCTAACGGTTTGCAGATGTTATCACAAAGGCAACACTTTCTTCTCACTTTCTTCTCCTTGAGTGTTGGTCCGGCCAGGGATCGAACCCGTGACCTCCCGCTCAGCAAAGCGGCACACTCCCAACTGAACTAACCAGGCGGCCGTTGAGTGAATGTTGATCGTTAAATAAATATTATACCGACCGTTTGGTCTTTAGTTGCATTGTGTACATAGAACGTGCCCACTAGATCGACATGCCAGTGTAAAAGTCCAAGAAAAAGGCGAAGAAAACCAAAAATTTTTCAACGTGACTAAGCTGTCGGCAGTCTATTCTTGTAAACATCTAGTTTTAGATCTATAAATCTACCTAGCAATCGTGGCGTTTATGGCTGCCCAATGATCGCACATGGGCGTCTTGTTTACATAATAACATGTGTTATTAATGACAAATAAATGTATTATGCCCTCCTTCCTTCGCTTAATACGGCAGGCCTTTAAGCAGGAGCCATAATAGGGGTAGGAAACTTTAACTGGGTACCTTGGGTAATGGGATTGGTTCCACGGGCTATTTTTAGCACAAATTGTGCCATCTCGTGTGACACACGCGCGCATTTTTTTGCTAGCTAGCGCACGCGGCGCAAAGGATAAACAAACAAAACAGCGTCAGAAATTACCTCCGTATGAGATGAATAAATTCCGGTAATTTCTGTCATCATTCCCTTCTCTGAATTTGAGGCAAGACCTTGAGGATAACCTCTTTGACATTAACTCTGAATATGAGGACTGTGAATGTAATTCTGATCATGTTAATCACCGTAGTGTAAGTGTTTTTGACAAATCCAGTTACGAAGAGACGTCGGAGATGTCGTGCGATGACAATCCCGTTCGGACGAAAAAAAAAACAACTTGCTCGCTTTCTATTTTTTTCGATTATTGCTATTTTTTATAGGGATATCTAGCGGGAGCCTCTACGGAGGAGAGAGGGGAAAAGGAGGGCGGAAAGTTAACAACAACAAGTTAAATCATTATGTTTAATTTTCCTCAAATATTTCTTTAAATTTTTGATAAATAAAGCTTCACCAGATTTTAACAGCGTCTACCGCTAAAATTTTACGGGAAAATAATTAAACACAATAATTTTCCCACATAATATTATCCTGGGTAACGTGGAGCA